TCCTGATCGTCGGATTTAGCGACATTCATGCATAACCATCGCTTATGCCAAAGCGACATATTGCTCCAAACAACTCCTTTAGCAATTTCACTGTTTCGAGAATTCCAATTCATTTGTTCTTCTCGGTAGAATAAAATCTACAAATTTGCTATGTTCTGCTGTACCTAGCTTTCTTAGTAATAGACTGACTTTTCTTGAATTCGACCAGTTTTCACAGTCTGTGTGGAAAATATCTTCATATCGTTTAAAATGCACGCTCAAACGTTTTTCCTTCGTCTGGCACATAGTTGAAAAGTTTCCAACGAATTAAATATGATGTTATTAGAATATGAAGAGTTACTTTCATTTACCTGAACGTTGTTTAATTTCTCCAATGTTAACTTTTGAATTTCCAAAACCTTGACATACATTTCTTCCTGTTCCCTTTGACGTTGCTGACTCAACTCCTCTTGCCTTTCTTGATAATTCTGCTGTGCTAATTGTTGTTCTCTTAATAAGGCAACCTGTTCACTTTGTTGTTGCAGACTCAACTGCTGGGATTTGAATAATTCAGCTTGACTCAACTGCTGGGCTTTAAACAATTCAGCTATGACTTTGGATAATTCCTCCATTTTTAACTGATAGTGTTCATGCAACAAAGAATATACTTTTTAAATTGTGTATCCACGAATATACTATAAGCAGACAAAACAAAATTGAAACAACATACGCCTTTTTTTAATTTTATGTCTTGCTTTATAAAATATTGTTGAGCAACCAAACAAACAAAAAATAACAAATTTTTTTTTTTTTTTTTTTAAGTTCGCTTACCTTTCAAAGTCGACACGTGGGTATTTGTGCTCCTTTTAATTCCATGCATGTTTTTTTTTTTTTAGTCGGCCAGCATTTTTTTTTTTTTTTTAGTCGGCCAGCATTTTTTTTTTTTTTTAGCCGTTATTTGTTTACGCCACCTTCCAGATTTTTCTGAGTGTACGTTCCTTTAAGCTTAGTCGTCCTTTAACTAGTTTTAACTGTCCAAACTTCAGAATACTTTTCCGTTCCATTAGATGTTCGACTTTTAATTAATGATTTTTTTTTTTTCCCAGCCTGGGTTCTTCCACTTGTCCCAATTATTGAAGGCTATCAATTATTAATTCTTTTTTTTTTTCGAAACGTAAAGTTCTTTATACCTCGTCGCCATTGTTGAAGCTTAAATAAGCATGGAATAATACAACACAAAATGTACGTTAACAAAATGTATTGAAACAAAGAATAGGTACACAATATTTACAGTTAGTTTGGTATATTCTTGGGAAGACTGTTCCTGCATAATGGGTTGACTAAATCGCAGTCGGGCAGAGTCTCTGGATTCAATTTCTTAATCTCTACTATCTTCCCCGTCTTCCGGTACCAACCCATATTTATATGGTCGGTAGTCCGCTTATGTAAATTAGGTGTATCATACACAACACTTTCATAAAAACTTTAATAAAAATAAATAGTTTAAATTATTTTAATAATATTTATTATTATACAGTTTCTTTTCAGTCCCCCCACCCCCCTCATTTGGGAATGTGCCTCAGTTGCACCCAATTGTTGTTACTAATATTGATTTTCGGGTGGGCTGACTTTAAACTTAAACTGCTCCAATTGAACAGCAAAAATTCCCAGTAATAAAAGACCTGATGAAAGACGGGTTGTACTGCTAGTTTTTATATATGTGTGTTTATCACCTTATTTGAACCCAGCAGTAATATACTACACATGAACAAGGTTCAATCCCTGGCTTTAAAATTTTTGAAGTTTGTGTTCAATTTGCTCCGACACCTTTAGGGAAGGTATGGATGCTTCTTAACTTCTCCTTCATTTGTGGGTCAAAAACAGTAGACACGGCTGGTTTAGCTTTCCTTGGAAACCATTCTAGAAGATGGACAACACTGATTCTTCAACAGGGAGTGGTACCTCTTTAAGACACCAGCAATGTGCCGTGGAGTGTGAAAGAAGACAATGTTGCATGTAGAGTGCTTTGATCATTCACTGACTCCTATTCTGTCTCCCTGTAAATGGGTGTGACAATTGTCTTGGGTATGACGATAAACTGCATCTGGCAGCAAGGCTTCTGAATGGGAGATTGGAAGTTTTTAGGAGCATGGAACCATCTCTTAATTGCTGTTGTTCCCAGGTCTACCCTGACTCAGGGTGGTAGCACCAGTTAGGGTCCGAGCTATAGGTAAATAGTGAACCACCCAAACAAAAATCAAAAGTTCATTTTTATTATAAAATGACCAACAATACATTTTTATAGCAAAATGACAATCAATGCAACAGTAAAAAAATATAAAAATACATTTTTATAGCAAAATTACAAACAATACATTTTATAATCTACAAAATATATATCTAAAAAAAGCATAACTTCATCCTGAAAGTATAAAATTATGTAAAAATATGTAGATTTTGGCATTAAATAACTCATAGAGGTGTTGATATGCCACTAAATAAAATCAACCAACTAGTGTGGCAGGATGCGGTTCCTTTCAATCCAAATGTCACCACTACATACATAAACATATGTGTTGCGATGGGATGATTTTTGATGCGGGTGAAGGAATTATTTCTTTGCCTTTGACATCTTTGGCCACTCGCTCTTCATTGGGTACCTAACAAAACTCAAAGAAACTTGTTTGACTCTGGTTTTCTGTTTGCTTCTTCACTGGCACAAATTCACTTGTCTGAAATAATGATCAATGCCAGAGTATGATAAATAGAATTTTTACTTCTTGGTGAATAGACAAGTTAATAAAGAGAATGTTAAAGTGTTAACACTTTAGGTTACATCAGACAGCATCTTGGTGTCAGAGAACTTACAACCTGGTTGGATATGTCCTATGGCTTTGTTCATATATGACAATAATCATTTTAAGAGATTTCTTACAACCATTAAATTTTAATATTACTTTAGACATTCTGAGACTTTTCAATTCCAAAAAGTTAGCCAGTTGCTTTACTGATGGACAACTTCCGTTTTCTCATATTACCAAATTTGGCTACAACTCTTGGCTATCTCTTGTGGTTCAGATCTTTATTTTCTTTCTACAAATGATTGGATATTTTTTCAGTTTTCTCTATAACGAGTAGAAGGGTTTGAGCTTCCCCGACTGTCACTATCACCAATGAGGACAATTGAAACCCTCTTTTGCTCTGCTGCTGTTGCCTTTAAGTCCTGTTTTATATAAAAAGGAAATATGCATTTCCTTTAACTTTACAAGTGTTCTCAAGATGTGAAATTTCTAGTTATGAGTCTGAACTTTCACTTCCTTTCCCAGACCCAACTACCTGTTAACTCCCATTGAGTTCTCAGGGTAAAGAAACAAAGAGGGCAAAAACTAATAAGACAATTTATTTTGGAGGGTAGTAGTGACACAATTCCATTTTTTAATTTTTCCCAAAAAATGACCCGATTTCATAAATGTTGAATATATTATTTTACCTATAGGAGGTGAGATGAGGAAATATATTCCCTGTTAAAGGTAGAGATAAATATATTTTCAGTTTCCCAGGCTTGACACTTTCTTTTCTGATAAATGTTTAACTCTTGGCATTACCCAAAAGTACCCTACACACAAGCTGCTAGTGGCCCGCTGGAAGGCCGCCAATTGCAACATCAGTGGTTCTCTGATGGTAGCCACTGGTGGGCCTCTAGTGGTTCACCAGTGGTAACATTGCTAAGATGAACACACCAGCAGCCTGACAGCAGGCCACCAGTGATGAACACTAGTGGCATACCACTCAGTGGGAGATTGGTGGCTTGTGTGTTATGACATATTTCTATCAGTGTAAATTTGGTCTCCTTTGGCAACCACTGCCATTGTTCCATAGTTGGATGAGTTGTCGTATTACAAAATTAGTTTATAGGGATTTCTTGGGACAAATATATCAAAGTTGGACTGTCTCTACTTTTTATTGGAAATCAAATTAGCTTTCTTTTCACCAGGAAAAAGGTTTTTCTCTCATTGTGTTAAATAGTAAAATATGTATGGTCTGTAATTGACTGTTTTTATTGCCTTTAGTGGGGAAATTTTACTGCATAATTGTAAATAAAGTGAGAAAAAAACGAGAGTGAGTGAGAGAGATTGTGAATCCTTTTGCTCATTAATATCTAGCAGTTTCAGTCTGTGTTTGCTAAGAGGCAAAATATCTCATTGAAAAATTTGGGGTGGAGAAACTTTTTTTTTTATTTTACAAGGAAATCTTGCCAATTGCTGATTGTTAATAAAAAGCCATTCAAATCTCACCGACATGACATGGCTTCCCTCTGTCTTTTCCACAAATATTTTCATGGCAATTGTTTTGATGATATTTTCCTCCTTGGTGCTACTAGATTGGCAATTAGGTCTCACCATTTTATTGTTGAACTAGCTGTTCTATTCTAATAATTTCTTTGCTTGCACTTCTTGACTGTGGAAATCCCTTCTGATTTCTTGCTTTCTACCACCGAAAATCTTCAAAAATTTAAATGTAACGTCAATTTCCATTTTCAGTCTTCCTAACCCTGTTCTTTTATTGTCCTTTATCCTCTCTAAAGTCTTCTTGTTCTCTTTCACTCCTTGTGACATTATCATCTTGCTTGAGATGAAATGATTAAAAAAAAATAAACACATCCTTCCTCATTTTACTTTTTTTGCTATAACTGATGCCGATCACCACCCTCCCTGGAACTTGTGACCATCAGCTGATTCTATCAATATTTTAGAAATACAATGTTTGATTTTTCTTTCTCTGCTCCTTAACCATAACATATCCTCCTCTATTTCACCCACCATAGGTGGGGTGGGGGGTAGGTGTATAACAAGCCAATATTGTTTCATATTATCTATCTACACTGATATGATTAGAAGAAGCTCAAATGGTAAGTATTAAATTCAGATGAAAGTAATATTGAATTTTGAATTTATTTTGACTATTTTTCTACCTGATTGTATTAAATCCTTTCAAAAATCTATTTTTATTTTTATTTTCAGATCTGGAATGAAAGGTCTTACTCAATAGATTACATAAAGGTTTGTGAATTGAACTTTTATAAAGGCATACACTAGCAAGGTCACTAGCTATTACCCGGAGAAAATAACTGATAAAAACATTTATCTGTCTACAATATGAGAAAAGAAATTTTGTCTCAGACTCAAAAGTTGATTTAACAATATGGGACCCGATAATATTGCAGATTTTAGAAGATGATAAAACTATGCTAAAAGGGTTAAAACAAAAATATCAATTCCCATGGCTAGAATAGTGTGTTCACTGTCAGCTGTGAGGTCTGGATAATTTGAAAAAAATTGGTAACCATGATGTGAAACATGACTAAATGGTTGACATAGTGATAAATTTGAAAATGTCAAAGCTGAGATGTTGCTGTTACCACAAACATGGGAGAGGGTAAATTCCTGTGGGCAGGATATTGGGGAATCCTCAAAATTGCATGACGGCTAGAATTTGGCGATTTCAACTGTATCGCTATAATGCTGCGGGATGTCCTGGTCACTGTGCTAATGATAACATCATCTCGTCCTTGGTCACCAGAGTATTCTTGATCGAATCCTGCGGCTAACCATGGAGTTGGTCACTTTGATCCAAGCCTTCCCCCTGCCCCACGTGTTTGTTTTCATTACAAGGCAGACAAGGATCATATTGTTGCCAGATATTGATGGATTGGTATCATATAGGAGGGACGATGTTATAAGACAAAAAAAAAAAGACAGTTGTGTAGATCAACAAGGTTTATATAACTGAGGTTTATACAGGAACACTTTTTCATATAAGAATCTACAAATATGCAGGCTAATGACTATTTCCTCATAGTCTAATTTTGTGACACTTTGTTCTTTGTTTATATTCAGGAGTCAAAATAACTCTAGTATATTATCTGGAGGAGGAGTATAAACCTACCAGAATATATATATTTTTTTATTTGTTTAAATGTTATTTTTAATGGATACTCATATTTGAATAGATGCTTTGTTTTTATTATTAAACAGTAGATTTATTTATATACATCTATCAGCTTGCATATTTGAGAAATTTTGTTAGAAAAATGTTGGAGGTCACACATTTTTTTTGTTTTTGGTATCTTGACTTCCTGAATTCAAGCATAATACTAGATTGGCAGCTAGGTCTCATCATTTTAATGTTAAAATTGATTAGTGTAAATATAAATTCCATTCTAATGGTTTCTTCTCTCACACTTCTCACTTATGGAACTCTCTTCTGGTTTCTTGAGGCTTATATTACATTGAAACACCAGTTCTTGTATGAGCATTAAAGTTAAGGAATGTAGAGCCTGATCAGTATCTATATGGATGACTGCTTGGGAAGACCAAGTGCTGTAAGCTTGGATGTGTAGGTGATGTCATGTGTAATAGTTTGGAATTGGAAATTGGAAAGCTGAATTCTGCATTCAGTTGGGTTCATTATATTTCCTTATGCAGAAATACTTTTGGGAAAGGTATGAATTCTTCTCTTCTCCCCAGCTATGGGTTAATTAGTAGGACTTATATACAGTAAATCATTATTATCTCCAAAAATTCTTAGAACCTAAAAATGTTTTCTGGCTTTAAATAACCTGCAAATAATGATAAGTTGTAAAAAAAACAAAAAAAACACATCTATCTTAATAACTACAATTTATAAAAATTTAAATTCCACATCAGTTGTCATCTTCTACCTCCTTGAATCTGATTCTTTTTATTGTCTTTTCTACTTAATAACATTTTCTTAGTTGCTTTCATTCTCAGTAACCATTTGCATCTCAGTGACTTTTTCTCCTTGTTTGGGGTGAATTGATTTAAAAACAAAAACAAAGTCTCATGAAAAATAACTTACTAAATTCTTTTTTTCAGATTTTGCGAAATACCTTGTGCATGAAGAAATTGGAACATGTCAAGATAGTGGCGTCAGATGGAGGTTGGAACATTGCAAAGGATATGTTGAAAGATTCCATATTAAAATTATCCGTTTCTATTATTGGGTAAGTTTTTCTAATCATCTGAAGGCAGAGAGCAATAATAACATTAAATTGATTCATTTCTTTTTATTAACTGAACCTTTTTTTTTTTTAACTATTATTATTTTTCACTCATATTTCTTTCATCTTAATTATGGTAGTGACCTGTTGGCAGGGTTTAAAATATGCTGACTGCACACCTATCAGGAGGAGGGTGTAAGACCATTGACACACAAAGAGGCTACTTTTGGGGTTAATAGACTGCACGCCTATCAGGAGGAGGGTGTAAGACCATTGACGCACAAAGAGGCTACTTTTGGGGTTAATAGACTGCACACCTATCAGGAGGAGGGTGTAAGACCATTGACACACAAAGAGGCTACTTTTGGGGTTAATACCTGAAGACATGTTATAAACCTGACTAATGTCTACCTTTTTTTTATCTCTAATTTAAACTTGACTTATTTCTTGATTCCAGCAAAAAACATTTTATCAACAATTTTGACTTGGAGGCAAACTGGATTTATTTCTGCCCGTTTTGACTCTTGAGTAATGTTAATGGAGAGTTTAACAGTTTTCATACAGGAAACATTTGACATTTATTGACAAAACAGCATTACTGTTTTCAGTTGAAATTTATGAAATCTTTCTCTTAAAACAGTTTCATTTTAGGAAAATAGGTTTTCTGAGCCCACAAATTGTTATCTCTTTTTTTTAGTATTCATGGGAGTTTCCTTTTGCTTTTGTCAAAAATAGAATGGAAAGTCACAATCTTGATTTATATCATTATTTTTTCTTCTAGTTACATATGCATTTTTGTTGTGGCTTTTGTTAGAAGTTTTCTAGGGATGTATTTTTTATTATTTGGTAATGTTCTTTATTTGTAGAAAAAATATAAATTGTATGTTTGTTCTCAGAGAACATATATGCCAGGGATGGCCAAACTTGCTTAATGTAAAAGCTACATGTGATAAAGTTCAGATGTTTGAGAGCCTCAAGACATGAATAAGGATTTCATCTGTCAATTGTTGCTCTATAGACAGTAGATAGGCCAATATATATGCCAGGGTTGGCCAAACTTGCTTAATATTAGAGCCACACACAATAAAGTACAGATGCTTGAGAGCTGCAAGACATGAACAAAATTTACACATACATTTTTGTTACATACACATTAACAGTAAACTTACGTTTTAATCTAATGGGGTCTCAATTCATACCCAGTAAATAATTATAAAGTTTTAATTTTTTCTTATTTACCTTTTATGTTGACTGTGATGAAAAAAGGAACTCTGCCAACAGTGATGTGAGGTTTTCTAAACAGATATCTGTGGATGTAGATTGTTTCGTTTTCTATTTGCTGGTTATTTAAAGCCAGAAAACATTTTTAGATAGTAAGAAATTTTGTTTGAGATAATAATGCTTTGGCGATAAAATTCATAGTAATTGGCCAATAGCTGGTGAGAGGAGATGTGGGTTCATGCCTTTCCCAAGGACATTTGTGTATAAGTGAATACAATGATCCCAAATGGAATTGGAACTCGGCTCTCCGACTAACGATTCCGAACCATTATCACCACACCCACATCCAAACTTGCAGTATGGTTCTAGGTACTGACCAGGTTTGACATTGCTTAACTTGGGGGATCGTACGGGAATTGGTGATGTGGCAGTAAGCATTCTGTGGGTGTGAAAAATTGTTATATTCATCCAATCCATGGATTACCTTTGTTGCATGACTAATGTTGAGACAGATTGGGAAAGACATTATACCTCCTCACCATAGCAATTTAAACAAACGTCGATGTGACGCAATATAGTATGAACGGGTCATACTAACCAATACCAGCAAGTACAAGGTGGACAGTTTGCATAGGCCTGTGAATACAAACTGTTTTGTCTCTAACTGAACCTGGCATGTCATCTTCATGAAGACATGTTTTAATTATATTAAGCACAGGGAAATGTAGATTTATGCCTCTGCTTAGCACAACGGTATGAAATGAATGCAACTGTCTTGGAATGTGAATACAGTTTTGTCTGTTTCATCATTCAAGCTGATAACCATTAGGCCAGGTCATAGTTCTTTATTTAAAAAAAAATATAAATTGTTTGTTTATTCTCAAAGAACACATATGGTAATGGTGAGAATAGCAGTTTCCAAACAGGAAGCATTTGACATTTATTGACAAAAAAAAATTATTGTTAGTTTAAATTTATAAACTCTTTCTCTTAAAACAATTTTTTCAGAAAAATACTTTTCTCAAGATTTTTTTTATCACCTTTCCTGGTAGTAATTTTTTCTTCTTAACACATTATTTTAAATAAATTAATTTTTTTATTTTTTTTACAGAGTCCACTATCCTGGGACAGTCACAACTAAAGATGCCTTGGCTACAGAATCTCCCTTATGGTCATCAGAAGACTACAGCACTTACAATAATGAAGTTGGAGCTGGATGTTGGGCCAGGGTAAGTCAGTCAGTATTTTGTTATGCATAGAGAATTTGACTAACCAATTGGGTTTGTGAATCTTAAACATGGGGAAAGCCTTTCATCAAAAATTGAAAACCCGTTTACTGGACAAGGATTCACTTTAAGAAAAAAAATTAAGTGTAGACTTGTTAACTGTTTTAATGTCAATTGTTTTTCTTAATACCTGTAGTCCTGGATATGACGATAAACTACATCCGGCAGCAAGGCCACTGATCAGGAGGTTTGAGGTTTTGAGGAGCGTGGAACCACCTCTTAATTGCTGATGTTCCCAGGTCCATCCTGATTTGGGGTGGTTGCACCTGTTAGGGTCCCAGTTATGGGCAAATAGTGAATCCCCAAACTTAAACAAAAGACTATGAAAGTATAAAAATGCATTTTTATAGTAAAAATAGCAGCAATACATTTTATATAAAAAAATTACCAACAATACCTATTGATAGCAAAATCACCAACAATATATTTTATCTGGAGTTGAAAGCATACATTTACATTCAAAATATTTAGATTTTGGCATTAAATAATCCATAGAGGTTGATTTGCCACAAAATCAATCAATCAATCCAAATTTAATTCTTGTTCTTTTTTTTCATATTTTCTCACACTCAGTAACCCCTTGCATCTTAGTAGTTTTATGAATTTAAGCTTATTCCCTTTTAGCCTCTTGCTTTCCCAGCTAGCCTCTTGCTTTCCCGTCAACTGTGGTCTTTAACAATTTTAATCTGAATTTAATTTCTGTTCTTTTTTTTCATATTCTCTTAGATTCAGTAATCTCATGTGTCTTAGTTATTTTGCTTGAGGTGAAATGATTAAGAAAAGTGTAATGTTTGACTATTTTTTTTTTTAGAGTTATCTTCCTTGCACTGACTGTATATTTACATACCCATATGTGAATTCCTTCTGATTACAAAACCAAATATATTGTCATTTTTGACAGTATCGCTAAACTTTTTTTTTTTTTTTTTTTTTTTTAGATATAATAGCCATTTTTTTTTGTCCTGTTAACTGCTATTTTAGAGTTATCTTCCTTGTACTGGCGATTATTTTTATATGAAAAGACTATTTTTATATGTGAAAAAACGTAAAGACTGAATAAAAATGGCATTAATTTTGATGTCATGGGAAAGGTAAAAAAATTTGCAATGAGAAGGAGTTGAATGTTTTTTTCTTTTCTTTTTATTGCATATCGTAAAAACTCGAGTGTTAGGCAATTATAAGTCAAGGTCAAATTTTCGACCTCAGAATTCTTTCTTCATTTGACCTCGAATTATATTCTGGGCACGATTTCTAAAGTATTGACTTCCTGAAAATATGAATGGTTATGCAGATTTATACGGAAATGATTACTTTTCAGCGGACAAAAATAGCTTCGTATTTAATTACCAACATATTTTTAAATAAACGATGTATATTATTATGGTTATAAATAATTAATAAATACTTAGAAAGCAATAATTGTCTGCAGCTCATGAAAGAAAATTATATGCTGTGATACAACGATGTTGATATTGAGTCGGGCATCATTATAATTCAAGGGACGTAACTCAAAAATCGTAATTACTGACATGAAGAGTTCATAGGTCGTTAGTTGACGTCTGTTATGTCTCTTAATCATTTTTTATAAAAAAATAAAATCGACATGCAATTAAAAGAGACTAATAAATATTTATTGTAATTGTTTCTTAAAAATTAATCCTTATTTATTGAAAAATGACGAATTAGTAGGTAGCAATGTAATGATAATAATAACCGTTTACCTACAACGAAACATTTGGCATTCATTGACCGAGCAACCAGTGTTACTCAAGATTGGACTGGGATCAAAGTGTAGTATCTGTCCTCCTCCTCTCTAATGATAATGGTAATATTAGTCTTTGAAACATTCAGCATTCATTGACCAAGCAGCGAGTACTGTTTTCAGTTGGAGCCTATAAAGCACTTTTTTTAGGAAAACAGGTTTCTCGAGGCCAGTAACTGTTATCACTCTTTCCAATATTGATGGGGGTTTCCTTCTAAATCTTTTATTTGAAGTTGTGTGGAAATTTAACATTTTGGTTGTCATTATCTTTTTGAATTGCATGTGCTATCCATTTTAGTTGTTGCTGCTGTTGGTAGTCCAACAGTGTGTGTCATTTTTGTTATTTGGCACAGTTCTTTGTGATTTTGTAATGCCAGTTCACAAGGTTCAAAGAAGGATGACCTCTGCCAAGACCCCTCATGCTTTACTTGCTAAAAATATTTTTTCACCATTGATCTTAGGAAGCAGTCAGTTGTATACAGCTGACAGTTTTGATATTCCTGGATGGGTTTGATATCCATGCTTAGCCTCCATATGAAATATGTGGTGATTTTCTCTATATTTCTGAGATGAGGTATTATGTACACTAGTTACATTATTCGAACTATTATCCTCATCTTTGTCACCATATTTATTACAACATTTCGGCCGTTGTATGCTCTGGCCTTCTTCAGGTGGTTGGAATGTTGAACTGAACCCTTTATTTCGCTCACTGGGATAGACTGTTCTAGTTCTATCTGCCATGTTTAATGGATGTCAGTTATCTTCTGTTAATTCCCCTCTGAAAGTTCTCCACTGCCTTAACCAGGTATTGAAATCGCACTCTTTGGGTCCTGTCACTGGATCTAACTAATGCATTTATCAACATTCTTTGTTGGATATTCCAACCACCTGAAGAAGGCCAGAGCGTACAACAGCCGAAACATTGTAATGTGATGATTATGTCATGATTCTGGATCTTGTAGGGTTGAATCTGATAGTATTGTTTGCCTAGAATGGCCCAGAACAGCTTTTGTTCAGCTGTTAGGAAATACGTCACACATATAAGTGGACGGGTTCTGAGAACTGCTTTTTATATAAGAAAATCAATTGCAATTTTTTATGGTAAAACAATTTCAAAATTTCAATCTTGGCTGTAATTTTTTCATAAGCAAATTGATTTAAAAATTATACTTTTTAGTAACTAATTTTTCAATGTTTTTAATGTATTTTTCCAGATCCTGAATCAGAATTATGTAAATGGCTTCATGACAAGGTGAGTTACTTTTATGAATATGAAAATTATTCTACACTGATTTAAAAAAGAATTAATATGGAGCACTGAATTGATTGTTTTATGTATGGATCTAGATACATTAGTTACTTTTGGAAAGAGGTTAAGGTTAGATCCATACATTCAGTTAAAAGTAAAAATAAAATCATCCTTGATAATGGCTAAAAGTATGGCTGAAAGCACTCAGACAAACATAGCATTCAGACAATTTCTACATAATTTATGTCCAGAAAAGTAGATGTATGTGTGTGTATAAAACCTTTATCACTCTGTATATGACTACATTTGTTGTACAAAAAGTTTATCCTGCTACTGAAGGTGACACTGATGTTTGAATTTGAATTTCATAGTTGTCATATCCTGCTATGGCAACAGATAACAACGGTGAAATTAACAATAAAGATACTGCAATTGACAGGCCTTGAAAAAGAATGCAGTGGAAAGGGAAGTGATATTAATAATGCAGATTGTTAATGGTTAAACTAGTGGAAGTCTGTCTGTTCAATTTTTTTTATTAAGCCTTTCCAATTAAATCTAATAAAGCTTAAAAAATTGGACAAACCGACCTTGTTGGCATCATTCACCAAAAGAATGTTTAAATAATTCTTGCTGCCTAAATACAACTTTATATAAAACAAACAACTAAATATATTACTTATATATGTCTCCTCTCATAATCTTTGACGTCTTTCTTTTTCTGTTTCTCAGCACAATTTCTTGGAATCTAATTGCCAGTTATTATCCTTCTCTGCCTTTTAATCGATGTGGACTGATGACTGCCAATGAACCCTGGAGTGGGTATTATCGTGTGGATTCACCTATCTGGATTACAGGTAATCAGAACAAACAGCACACAAAACGAAGACCCTTGTCAATATTTAGAACTGTTTTTCATGAGTGCCTTGTTCTCTAGACAGTCGGCTTTTCAGCCATTCCAATTTGTCTTGTCTTAAAGAAGATACTAGCTCGATCAATTTGGTTCCGTTTTTGATTCCACTTTACAAACTGTTTATTCTTAGAATGGTGAAATTTCTCGGAGACAATCCTAACAATGAATGTCACTTGGCCGCAAAACTGGCTTCACGGAAAACATTAAAGTGAATTATTAACCTCGTCAAATAATTCACGGAAAAAGCTAGAAAATTAAAGGGAGATAACTTTATATATTTTTTTTTAAGTCGTTATCATTTAAAAATTTTGTTGTTGATTTACAGAAATGAATAGTTTTTTTTCTCCATAAATTTATCACTGAATTCTTTATTCATGTAATAATACTGCTTAATATTTTAGTTTTATTTTAGGAATGTTTAAAAACAACTAAAAAATGACGAAACAAACACATTTAAATATTTATTCATTTAAATATTTCTCCCATACAAAATACATGCATAAATAAATTAAATATATAAAAAGGTTTTAACTATTAATTCATGTTACCCTTTTTTTAATTTATTTTAATATTTTATTTTAATCGTTTTTTATTTTCGCTGTCTGAGAAAAGACAATTTCCTGGCTTTAACTGATTTCAACATTAAATAATCCTTTTAAACAAACCAACCAAATTGTTGTCAATCATTTATTATCATAAATAAGCAACAATCAATTTAACAAGTGTGATTTTTAAATGATGCATAATGTAAGAAAAGTACCATTCATATATGACAGTTATCTCCCTTTAATTTTCTACATTTGTATTTTTCTGTATTTTTCGACAAAATGAAAATTCAATTTCATGGTTTTGGTGAAAACAGTTTTTGGACAAATGGCATTCACTGTTATGAACAAGACCCCAAAGTTTATATAGAAAGTTAAGAAAGACTCTTGGGGAAACGGTGGGGTGTGGTTGTTAATCAGGACAGCCACATAGGTAAGTGGATGTAAACAATTTTATCTGAGTCTGATGTGTCTGGTGTTTTATGAGCAGCAGTAAAATTTATGAAGTAAGGCCTTCAAAGTGGCCAACTGCTGTCCAAAAATAGTAGAAAGGAAATAGAGTAAATAAATGAAAATTTTTGGGATCAAGTGCCACTTGGACAGAAAGTAGAAAGTTCTGATCATAGCCTTATAATGGCAGTGTCGCAGAATTGTCAGGTTTAAGACACATGTTGGCAAGTTGCCGGTTGTCAGTGGATATGTGGAGAAGCACAGTCATAAAGCCGCATGTCATAAAGTAGATATGATATTGGGCTGGTAGGTGAGAGTTGGTGTCACTTATCCCCACCCTCAAGACTGTGCCGAGTGAATCCTATGAATAAATAATGAAATATACTGGAAATAGGATTAGTGTTTTCATTTCTTTCCATGGTGGTATTTTCCCATTCTAACCCTTTGTTGAATGTACACTGGTCTTTTCCCAGTTTTTGTTCACATAAAAGCAAGCAGGAATTATCAAACTTCAACAAACACCCAAAAGGGTCATGGCTTCTAAGACAAGATTTCTGGTAGTTTTTCTTTTTTTTTTTTAATAGTAAAAAAAAGAAAAAAAAAAAAAAAAGAAATGTGGTTCAACCCATGACAGAAAGCATTGGGCATTTCAATGTATTGTAATGATTAGGAAGCATGTCTCGCCATATCAATTACTGCTGAGTAGTGAATTCAATCCTCACTCGGTGCTCCACATTTGTGTCTTTGTGCCACATTTGAGCTACACTTAGAAATTAATTTTTGGGACTTTGATGTTGTGTAATGGTTAGCAAGCTTGTCTTACTAGATCACTTATGACTGAATAGTGAATTGGATCCTCACTGGGTGCTCTATACTTTTGGCCTTGTGCCATATCTAATCTAAGATTTGAAAATCACCTTAACAGAAGGCAATGATTTTTGTCTTCTTTTAGATCAACAGATGGGAACACAATCATCAATTGTAGCAGCTGTGAATTCTTAAAAGGTTGGGAGTTTGCCCTACGAGAAAGGAAATAATGTCTTATCTTAATCTGGCACATAATCACAATACTGGAGCCCCCAGTAAGGATTAAAGGAGGCACGGTGGAGTAATGGATAGCGGCTTAGATTGAGTAATCGAAGAGCCAAGTTCAAATTCCAGTCAAATCAATTACATTCACTTACCTGCTAACACCCTTGGGAAAGGTATGAATCCTCTTCTCCCTCCAGCTATGGGTAAATAGCAGGACAGACTGGGTTCTATAGATTTGGATGGCAACTGGTCTAGGAGAAGGAAAACTCTGAATTCAAAACTTGCTCTTAGAGGAGGGTGAATGGAGTCTCTCTGAGCCTTGGTTGGCAATCCATTTAGTGATGGTGTCACAATAAAAAAACACCCTTGATAGCCGTAGCGAAGCATCAAGAATTAAGCTACTTGACAAGATAATGAACTACACCAATCAAAGTATTGGTGAGTTCAATCTCGGCTGAGGCCGCAAGATGATGATGATGAAGGATTGAACTTACAACATGAAGAGTGAAAACTTGTTAATTAATAACTACCCTATGGTAGGCGCCTTTATTCTTTTGTATAAATATATTGAAAAATATAGTCAAATGAGTCAACAATTATTGATTTATCTCAATTCAATGTTTTCAGCGCACACCACACACTTCACAAAAATTGGTTGGCATTATTTGGCTCACGGCCATGGAGTGGGAAAATTTAAAAAGGGTGGCAGTTATGTTGCTTTGACCAGTCCGAAATCTGACCAACTGACCATTATTATTGAAACCATGGTAAGTAGAGGTTTTCCTTAATTTTTTTTTATACTGAAGTTCACCCAATACAAGTCTTAAGAGTCACTCAAAGTAGAGAGTTAATGTTAAAATGGTAACAATGAATGGCATCTGTGATATTAATGAAAGAGCTGCTGGTAAGAAGTTAAGATTATGAGAATATTGAGGATAGATAACAATTGACACTTGACATGAAGATTGGTGGTTTTTGTTTAGTGGTATATCAACGTCTGTTATATGGGCATGTAGCCAGAAAATGATACCACGGGTTGACCCAAGCCCTGTGAGTGAAATTGGGTAGGCGGAACCCTTGGGTGCTATCGATAGCTGTGCTAGCACAAAGTCACAAGTCATTGTGGCTGAGGGCTTGAGTGTGCTGGCCTTGTTCAAATTGTTGATCATGCTAGATAACACACTCTTTCCCAGAAACTGTAACCAAAAACTGCTCAACATAGTTGCAGTATAAACTACAGGTGGGCTCTGTGGGTGTTGAGCAAACACAAATGCGCCTGAGTGAGTGTCTGCAATAGAGATTGGCTAACCGCCCTAGTAGACAGTTATCCTCAAATATGAGTGGCCAGCTATACTATATAAAAGTCTATGAGTTATTTAATACTGAAATTGAAATATTTTGAACACTGTTTTATGGCTTCCACAACAGATAAAATGTATTGTTAATCATGTTGCTCTGAAACACATTGTTGGTCACTCTACCAAAAATAGGTATTGTTGGCAATTTTTTTATATAATAATGTATTGCTGGTATTTTTATTATAAAAATCTATTTCTTATACTTTCATAGTGTTTTGATCCCAGTTTGGGGATTAACTATTTACCCATAGCTGGGACCCTAACAGGTGCTACCACCACGGGTCAGGGGGGAGCGGGGAATAAGAGAAATTAAGAAGTAGTTCCATGTTCCTCAAAACCTCCAATCTCCTGGCTGCCGGATGTAGTTTTGCCATGAAGATATTAAGATTGCAGTGTAGAGGATTACTGTCAAAATGGTTATGATAAATGAAAGAAGGGGCCATGAGAAATGAAGATTATGAGGATAAGGGGGATAGATAATGATTGAACTTTGACTTGAGGTTAAAATTGTAATATTTGGGGAAGCACCATGTGGGGAGTTTATTCCATAATGTAGCTGTTTTTGGCAGGGGAAAGATGAGTGGAACTTTCTCCTTAGATTTGGAATATGGAGGGGGTGGGGAATGAGGATGATTCATCTCCATAGAAGTAGCATGGCATATCCTAGCTGTAAAGTCTGAACTGGTGGAACTAAAGAATTGTGCTCATCTAAACATTTGCCATGGAAATAGAGTAGTGATAGGCTTGCAATGTTGCTTCTTTGGGAAAGAGGCTGCAGATTGGAGAATAAGTCTTTTTACCAAAAGACTGTTTAAATGTCCTGGCTGTAAATGTCTGAACTGGTGGAACTAAAGAATGGAGCTCATCTAAAGATTTGCCATGGAAATAGAGTAGTGATAGGCTTGCAATGTTGCTTCTTTGGGAAAGAGGCTGCAGATTGGAGAATAAGTCTTCTAAGCAAAAGACTGTTCCAATGTCCTGGCTGTAAAGGTCTGAACTTGTGGAACTAAAGAATGGAGCTCATCTAAACATTTGCCATGGAAATAGAGGAGTGATAGGCTTGCAATGTTGCTTCTTTGGGAAAGAGGCTGCAGATTGGAGAATAAGTCTTCTAAGCAAAAGACTGTACCAATGTCCTGGCTGTAAAGCTCTGAACTTGTGGAAGTAAAGAATGGAGCTCATCTAAACATTTGCCATGGAAATAGAGGAGTGATAGGCTTGCAATGTTGCTTCTTTGGGAAAGAGGCTGCAGATTGGAGAATAAGTCTTCTTAGCAAAAGACTGTTCCAATGTCCTGGCTGTAAAGGTCTGAACTGGTGGAAGTAAAGAATGGAGCTCATCTAAACATTTGCCATGGAAATAGAGGAGTGATAGGCTTGCAATGTTGCTTCTTTGGGAAAGAGGCTGCAGATTGGAGAATAAGTCTTCTAAGCAAAAGACTGTTCCAATGTCCTGGCTGTAAAGGTCTGAACTGGTGGAACTAAAGAATGGAGCTCATCTAAACATTTGCCATGGAAATAGAGTAGTGATAGGCTTGCAATGTTGCTTCTTTGGGAAAGAGGCTGCAGATTGGAGAATAAGTCTTCTAAGCAAAAGACTGTTCCAATGTCCTGGCTGAATGGAGCTCATCTAAACATTTGCCATGGAAATAGAGTAATAGGCTTGCAGGTTCTTTGAAAGAGGCTGCAGATTGGAAATAAAAGAAAAGGTTCAGCCTCAAAGGTCTGAAACATTTTTGCCATGGAAATAGAGATAGTGATAGGCTTGCAATGTTGCTTCTTTGGGAAAAAGAGGCTGCAAACATTGGAGAATAAGTCTTCTAAGCAAAAATAAGTCTTCTAAGACTGTTCCAATGTCCTGGCTGTAAAGGTCTGAACTGGTGGAACTAAAGAATGGAGCTCATCTAAACATTTGCCATGGAAATAGAGTAGTGATAGGCTTGCAATGTTGCTTCTTTGGGAAAGAGGCTGCAGATTGGAGAATAAGTCTTCTAAGCAAAAGACTGTTCCAATGTCCTGGCTGTAAAGGTCTGAACTGGTGGAACTAAAGAATGGAGCTCATCTAAACATTTGCCATGGAAATATTAGAATATCAACATTTGGTTTGTGGGAGAAAAAGGCAGCTCTTCCAAATTTGATTAAATGGATACATATGTTGTTATGGAGAAAAGTCATATTGCAAAAAATAAACATCATTTGATTAACAAAAAAAGTAGAGCAGTGTGTAGTTATTTTATCAAAATAGAGAGAAAATATATCTGACACTACATAAGTCACTCAATTTTTTTTCTTCATATTATTGCTAAAAAAATATCTCCTGTATTTTACATATGAAGTTGGGCTACGTAGTCGGTTAAAGTTTACCCAGATGCCATACCCTATCAGTACTTGTACCTACCCTAACTAATGCTGGAGTATAAAAGTAAATGGATTTTCTTTTAAAATATGAGACCAGGTAAAAATTAAAATCTCAATATCTATTGAAAGAACAACAGGAATATATTTAAAGGTAAACAAATTCTGGGATTTTTTTTATCCATATGGCTTATGTGAAATCAGTCTTATGAAATAGAATCAATTGGAACATTGTTTTTGTGTTAACAGAAACTGATTTATCGGGACTAGTGCCCATGTTTTTGATTTTTTTTTTTTTTTTTTTTTTTTTTATATAGTTAAAGTTTTTTAGCTAATCTGTCCTTCTTCAGATGTCTTTTGTATTCAGTAACTGTAATGGTAATTTTAAATCAAATTTGGTGTTTCAGACTTTAGTTAGATGGCGTTTAAATCCAACTTAACTTGGTTTTTGTGTTTAATTTTTCAGAGCCATGACCATTCTTATTGCATCCGTCCACAGTTGCCGAAATATAACGTTGAACCACAAAATATCACAATTCAACTGAATGGCTCCTTTGTAAGTAATTTATTGGAAATAATTTACTTTCTTCTATTTTCATTTTCTTCAGTTTTTTTCCCTAATTTAAATTTATCCACCCCTACCAATTCACAACATCTTTTGATTGATTTTCTTTTTTTTTTTTTTATCCTGAAATTATTTTAAAATGTTTCAATAAATGTCATTGACTTTCGCATAGTTCATTAGTTGTTATTAAGTAACCAATGATATTTGTTTGACTGCATTCTCACTAGTTGTTCCTGTAATTACCGATATCACGGGTAGGATTCACAAAAGAAATCTTTAGAAGCAGCAAATTCTGGAAGTTGGTCAGGTGGGTGGGAATCAAATTAGAATTATTTTTGCATACTGGCTGCATTTGATCTTGGCATGCATAGGTCTCATCCTTCTACTGTTGAAATGGCTACTTGAAACCGTAAGTTCTATTCTAACAGTTTTCTTTTCTCACACTTCTTGACTGTGGAACTCTCTTTGAGTTTCTCATTTCTCTACCACGTATGTTCTTCAAAAAATTAAATATAGGTCACCATTTTCTGCCTTCCTATATTGTTCTTTCTCCTCACTAAATTCTTCTTGTTCTCTTTCACTCTCAGTAACTCTTTGCATCTTAGTGGCATGATCAACTTGCTTGGGGTGAAATGATTAAAAAAAAAAAATATCAAACACTGAAAGTCATTCTAACCAAAATAATATTTTGAGAAGGTTAGCTGTTAATTTATTTATTTTTGTTAAATCATTTCACCCCATGCAAGACAATAAAGCCATGACACAATGGATTGCTGAGTGTGAAAGAATAAGAAAAAGAACATTATTATGAATCAAGAACAATAAAAGAGGAATCAAGAAGACAGTAGATAACAATTGATATTACATTTCAATTTTTGAAGATCAAAGTTGGCTGGAAAACATAGAGCCAGAAGAGACTTTCACAAGTGAGAAGTGCGAGAAATGAAAATGCTAGCATAGAACTTATGGTTACATTGAGCCAATTCAACTGTCAATTGACTAAACTTCATTTAAACTCTAGTACTGCACTTAAATCCATAAAGTCTGTGTACAATAGCAAAGAGTTCATCCAAACAAATACCATGAAAAGGCACAGGGAAGCAAAAATGCAGAAGTGGGAAAGTGATTAAAGCCGGGATGCCAGGTCAGGACCAATATAATTGCAAATCATCTTTGAAAAGTTCATCCAAAGAAATACCATGAAAGTCTTTATAGAAAAGGCACAGGGAAACGACATTACGTCAGTGGGAAAGTGACTGAAGCTGAGATATAATAATACCACTAATATTGCAAGTTCTTCTTTGGATTTTGTCAAGAATCTCTAAATAGGCAGCAAGAGCGCTGGACCATATGTGGCAACAATATTGAAATCATCGACAAATAGGAGACTTACGAATGGTAGAGAAAAATTTTCTAGCATGACACAATAAACCAACTTTCTTAGCAACTAACCTAGCAATGGATTAAATATAATCTTTCCACTTCATGTCAGCTGAGAATGTTAGCTCAAGAAAGTGCCACGAGTCATTTGTCTGGAGGTTTCTAATATAGGAATTACTTTCTTGATATAAAGAATGAAAATAATCCATTCTGGCTTTTGATTCTATTGCAAAATGTTTTGCTTTTTGCATGAACAAATATGGCAATATTTATTCCTATAAAAAGAGCTTGTTAGCCTTGGTTGGTAGTCTGTCTAGGAGAAGATGCCCCACTGATTTCAAAACTGGGGTAGATGGGACTCTTTAGTCATCTTCAAGTATCCAATGGTTTCATCCTTGTGATGAGGGCAGCAGATCTGCAGATTGATAACCAACAACAGATGGAACAGGATTCAGGACCCACTGATATCCTCCCCCCACTCCAATGATAATCATGGACACAATGGATGTGCAGATGACATATTGGGTAGCTGTTTGAAATGAGAAATTGGAAAGATGAATTTGAATTCCTGTCAAGTTCATTTATCCACAAATACATTTGGAAAAAGTCTGAATTCACCCCCCACTCCAGTCTTTTGGATAGGTGTAGACGTTTATCCCTTGTTCCCTGTTTAGGATTTTCATTCTCTTTCACTCCCAGTTGTCACTTTCATCTTAGTAGCATTATTGACTTTCTTGAGGTGAATTGATTAAAAAAAAATCCCCCACCTATGGGTTAAATGGCTGGCAGCCAGTCTAGGAAAAGGAAAACTGAATTCATGAAGAATCAAATAAATGCCCATTAATTAGCACTTCTGGATAGATAGAACTCATTAGCCTTGGCTGGCAGTCTGTCTTGGAGAAGGATCACTCTGATTTCAGAACTGGGGTCGATGGGAACGCTTTAGTTATCTTGATGACAAGCCTTCAAGTAGCCAATGGCTTCATCCTTTTAATGAGATGTGGCTTGGTAGCCAACTTCTGAGTAATGGTCAGAAGAGGATTCAGGAGCCATTCATGTCAATCCCCTTCCTCCCAAGATTCACGGACATCAGGATAGGGGGGCAGGGTAATGGATAGTGGCTTGGATTCAGAAATTGGAGAGCCAAGTTAATTACATTTACTTAGGCATAAATAACTTTGGGAAAGATATGAATTCAACTACTTTCCCCCCAGTTATGGGTTAAACAACACATACTGGCCTCTTTAGCCATAGTTGATAATAAGTCTAGGAGGACAACTTTAAAATCACTTTCCTCAACAATGAGGATAGGGAGAAGCAAAAAAAAAATTATTGCAGATATGAATTACAGATTTTCTCTTTCTAAGGTTGGATCCTAATCGATGAAATTTGTGAAATGGACAGAAGGGTGAATTCTTTTGGTTAAGGCATGAACCTAAAAGCCCTTGCATTTACTTCCTATACTAATCATTTTGAAATGACATAATTTACACAATCATTCATCAAAGCTAAATGAGGGAGATGCTGTGTAACTCACTTGTATTGTATTAGAATAACTGTTTTGCTGTTTTCTTACAGACTTCCATCAAGCAACTTCAAGTATGGTACAGTCATTTAAATTTCCAAGGTCAACCATTTGTACTCTTCAAGAAATTGTCAGCAATTCCAGTGAGTGACATTTTTCGTATTTTAAAGTAAAATTGGTGCCAAAGAAAATGTCAGTAAGGAATTCTTCCAAAGCAAAAATAATGTGTGTGTGTAAATGCCATAAGAGTTTTATTAATACGTAAAGAAATATGAGTCAAAAATGAATACTAATTGCCAAGGTTTTATCTAAGAAATTCAGACAACTTAAGACTATTACTACTTGGTGGAAAAGCAAGAGAAATAAGATGAAAGAAATACTAGTCAAAAATGAATAATTTTAACTTATGTACAGATTTTAATTTTTTTAATCTGTACATAATGTATAAGTTAAAAAAAAACAGGTAAAAATTAATAAATAATTAGTTTTATATATCTGTACATGCAATACTTGTGTATCTGCTGTTAAAATGTCCTTTCTCAACAATAGAGTAAACACCAGAACCAGTTGGTTTACTTTTTGCTGACTAAACGATATCATGATAAACTGTCACGTTGGACTCTCTGCTTGAGAAACAGTGAGATGCATGTGTACGTACAGATAACTTTGTCATCATAGTAGGAAATAGTAATAATGCTATTGATGTGGCATTCCCTGCAGATTGTAACGTACCCTTTAAGATCTTCAAGGTCCTTGTATTTTGATAGTTTTTTTTCAAGTGGAAATCTAAAAAATATGGCACATGAGGACATCAACAATTCCAGTTGTAGTTGGAATCCTTGGAAAAAGTTCCAATAGACTCATTGAAGAGATTCCCATGCCTTAAAGAACTACAAAAAATTTTTCCCACAAGTACAGCTCAAATCTTTATGAAGGGCTTCATCTATGTAAAATGTGGGTTATTTTAGGTTGTTTAACAAAAATGTTTATTGGAAAAATGTCATGATGTCATTTCTGACCTTAGGTTTCTAGTTGGGACCCATAAAGAAATGAGTAGACAACACAAATCAAAGGAAAAAATAATAGTTATTATTATTATTAAAAAAAAAATGCAACCCCTCCCCACAAACCAAAATGAAGGACATTGAAAAGCATAATCTAATTGCTTTATTATATTTTTTCTCTTCGTTTCATTTCTTCTTTTTCCTATTTTTATCAGGTCCGCAATGGGAGCTTCAGTCTTTCTCTTGGTGTAGATGAAGTCATTACGTTGACCACAATTGATGTCGAGCAAGAAAAACCTTTTTCAAATATTCCACCTTCAGCTTCTTTCCCAGCGGAATATTTTGATAACTTTGAGAGTAAGTCAAGTTTGGGGGTTGCAACAATGTCTTATCTTTTCTTTTTTTTCTGGCATACTTTATCAAAGTTCATCTTGAAGATGGTGGACACAAGACTCAAAAACTTGCACAACATTTTTCTTGCTTATGTTGAAAAGGCTTCCCAAATATTAAAGTAAAATTAAGAAAACAATTGATCCTCTGCCTCGTCATCTTGCTATAAATGAAACTAATATTTAGACTTTATGAATTTATATAGTTAAAACTTTAGTATTCAACACACTCAAACACACCTGATAAATATTTATTCTCAATGTCCAATCCACTGTAACCATCCCATTGTATATTCTGCCATAATATATAACAACATCATTGCAAATAACTTATGACGTCACACACACACACACACACACACACACTTACAGGGAGACTTTGGGCTGCAATCCAAGCTTTATTCAAAGTCACATTGGTGTTCATTTTATTACAAGACTAAAAGTAAAGTGAAAGAAAACAATTTATTCTCTGCCTCATCACCTTGCTATAAATAAGAATTACAATGAATAAAACTAATTTTTAATATGTATGCATATATATATATATATATATATATATATATATATATATATATATAAAAAAAGTGAGTGTTATATTTACATACGCTCTATCTCTGATATTGAGCACTTTATCTCATAAATATAGCACACCTTAAAACTATATATATATATATATATATATATATATATATATATATATATATATATATATATAAACATAATTTAAAACTATATTTATCTGCAGAACCAATTTAAATTGTGGAGCTTCCTTAACACAATATTTCTGTTATGTTTGTTTACCCCCTTCCAAGAGAAATGATGGCAATAGTTAATTTTGCAATGACCTTGTAGTTGCAAAATATCTAAAGCTTTACATATCTCTGATATTTTCTTGTTTCTGTTGAAGTCTTCCTGAATATCAAGCTAAAGGTAAAATTACAATGCCAATTCATACTCGACGTTTCTCCCTTGCAGTAAATGAAAACAATTATAATAGTTGGAACTAAGTTTTTAAAGTAATTCATCGAGTCTAGAAGAATCCTCAACTGAATGCAGAAAGCACTGGATGGCCATTTTGTCCTATTTTGGGACTCATTATCAGTGCACACCCACCACTGAGAATCAAAACTGGTTCTGGACCATTACGATATGACCCAAATGTCACACCCACTTGACCAACAGGACTCGGTGGTGAAGAGATAACAAACTAGACTTTCTTTTCACAAATTCCGTCATGTAACTCATCCAAGAGTCGTGTCTTATATCCTCAAGCTGCTCTATCCAGAGCATTAAAAGCTGGTTGTACTAGCATGAAGCCACAAGTCATCGTGACTGAGGGTTTGAGCTGGTTCAAGCAAGGGTATACAAAAGAAAACATGACTTGCAGGGGCACAGTCTATTGGACTAAGTAAACTTGGATGAGTTACACGACAGAATTTGTGAAGAGTGGCGCTACATAGTCTACTTTGATACCTCTTTATTGCCGAGACCCATTGGTCCTGTGGGTATGACGCCATATCGTAATGGTCTGGATTCAATTCTCAGTGGTGGATGCACACTGCTGATGAGTCCCAAATATAGGACGAAATGGCCGTCCAGTGCTTTCTGCATTCTGTTTAGTTTAGTTCTAGACTCAATGAATTACTTAATTATGATTATCTCAAATCTTCCTGATAATTTCTATCACTTGTATATCCTTGCTTGAACTGACTTTAATAGCTCTGGATAGAGCGGCTTGTTGATAGTAGTTGTAGCTTGTGGGGTCACAGACTCGGATGAGTTCCACCACGGAATATATGATTGAGCGGCGCTATATCGAGTCTAATTCACTACCTCTGCGTCATCGTTGATACAGTTGGTATGACGTTTGCTTCATAACATAACTGTCCGGGTTTCAATTCTCGGTAGTGGATGCGGACTACTGATGAGTCCCAAATATAGGATGAAACGGCCGTCCAGTGCTTTCTGCATTCTGTTTAGTTTAGTTCTAGACTCAATGAATTACTTATGATTATCTCAAATCTTCCTAATAATTTCTATCACTAATATTAAAATATACTTTACTTTCAATGTTTATTTATTTACAAATACAAATGCAGTTTAAGAGTTTGGTTTGCCTAATATTTTCTGCATTAGTATCCACAATTTTTAACTTTAAAAATAAATAGATGTGTGACAATAAACACATTAGCGTTCAGTATCCACAATTTTTAACTTTAAAAATAAATAGATGTGTGACAATAAACACATTAGCGTTCAGTATCCACAATTTTTAACTTTAAAAATAAATAGATGTGTGACAATAAACACATTAGCGTTCAGTATCCACAATTTTAACTTTAAAAATAAATAGATGTGTGACAATAAACACATTAGCGTTCAGTATCCACAATTTTAACTTTAAAATAAATAGATGTGTGACAATAAACACATTAGCGTTCAGTATCCACAATTTTTAACTTTAAAAATAAATAGATGTGTGACAATAAACACATTAGCGTTCAGTATCCACAATTTTTAACTTTAAAAATAAATAGATGTGTGACAATAAACACATTAGCGTTCAGTATCCACAATTTTTAACTTTAAAAATAAATAGATGTGTGACAATAAACACATTAGCGTTCAGTATCCACAATTTTTAACTTTAAAAATAAATAGATGTGTGACAATAAACACATTAGCGTTCAGTATCCACAATTTTTAACTTTAAAAATAAATAGATGTGTGACAATAAACACATTAGCGTTCAGTATCCACAATTTTTAACTTTAAAAATAAAAAAAACAAATATTCATTTACTATATAATACGCCAAGGGATTTTTATCTCTATTATTATTTCTTTTGATATGTATGGATGTCCATCTACTGGGGCAGCTAGCTAATCCCTGTTGCAGACGCCTGCTCAGGCCGATTTGTGTTTGTTCAACACCCAGAGATTTCACCTGTGGTTTATACTGCAATCATGCTAAGCGGAAACTTAATTACAGTTTCTGGGCGAGAATAGGTTATCTAGCGTGATCAACAGTCTGAACCAGGCAAGCGCACTCAAGCCCTCAGTCACGATGACTTGTGGCTTCATGCTAGTACAACCATCGACAGCTCCCAAAGGGTTCCATCTACCCAATTTCAATCACAAGGCTTGGGTTAACCCGTGGCCTGATTTTCAGGTGCTTTCCAAAGGTG